CCCAGTGTTTTAATGTCTCTTCGGAAGGGCGCAGGAACCCTAGCTTGGGAGCACAGTGGGGCTGGGGGGCTGGGTGTGTATGTGTGGGTGGGTCCTGTGTGAAGAGCTGGGGCAGGGGTGAGAGGTTAGAGATCTAGAGAGCATAGATGATGAGAGGTAGGATGCCCACGGAGAAGGAGGACAGAAATGCAGGACCCAGGCGTGGCCTAGAGCCAGAGGGTAAGGGCCGCCCAGCCTTGAGGGTGTGCAGAGTGGGGAAAGGTGACCCAGCCTGGAGCCCTTGACCTTGGGATGAGCCTTCTATTCGGTGTTCATACTGAGCACCTGGTGCTGGGTGCTGGGGCCTCGGAACTCCTGCAGCTGTCATGCAGCGGGGGGTGGGGGGTGGATTCTACAGGTGCTTGTCACTGCCCTTGCCCCCCTCCCTGGCTGTTAATCCGATGGTTCCGGCCATGCTCTCTGAAGGACTGGCAGTCTGGGCTGGGAGGGGGAGGGAGTATGGGGTGGGTGGGTATGGGCAGAGTCAGATGCCCAAGGAGCTCTGGGAGGCTGGATACGAGACTAGAGCAGGGGGTGGGGCTGCAGGGACTGGATCCCAAGGATTCCTCCAGCATAGCTGTGTGCGGTGTGTGTGCACACGTGTGAGTGACAGTGTGTGTGCTCAGGCTGCTGGGTTGTGAGCACATCGGAGGGGCAAGTGGGCTGAGGGGCCCAAGAACTCTGGTCCCCGGTGTCACCTTGCTAGGAGATCTTTACGGACAGGGTCTGACCCTAATTTATCTTTGTGAATCCACAGTCCCCAGGGTCTGGCTTATCTCAGCCCTCTCTACCTGGATCTCCAGAGAATGGTGTACAGGCATCAGGAGGGAAAGACTGGCCCTTTTTGAGATGGAGTCTTACAGACAGAGGGGTTCTTTTTTGGCTCAGGGCCCTGAGTGGAGGCTTGGGGATCGGCGTGAAGGACACTTTGTGGTTGAGCCACTAAACCAGAGGGAGGAAAGGAAGAAGGAGGTAGCTGAGAATAGAGGAAAGAGGGACAGGTTAGCACAGCCTATGCCTCTGTTCTCTTCCTACCTTAGGACAGAACCCCTCAGCCTTTATGCTACAGACCAAGTTAGTCCTAGCAGAAGTCAGTTAGCTCTACTTCCTGACAAAGAAACCAGACAGGTTAAGATGCTAGAAAAGGTCACAGAGCCAGTGAAGGTTGAAGTTGGGGTTCCAGCCCAACCACCCAACTAAGTCCACCCTGTTTCCCTCCATACTTCCTGACAAAGAAACCAGACAGGTTAAGATGCTAGAAAAGGTCACAGAGCCAGTGAAGATTGAAGTTGGGGTTCCAGCCCAACCACCCAACTAAGTCCACCCTGTTTCCCTCCACCCCAGCCTCCAGCACCCCACAGGCCTCTCCCCTTTGTAGACTTCACTCACTGGCCTGTCTCCCTCTCTTCTCCTCTCTTGCCGTCTCCTCTTGCCCAGCCTGAGACTTTCTGACTGAGTCATGTGCTGCGTCTCTGACTTTGTGGTTCCTGGCCCTCTCCATCTCTAAGTGTGTCTTTCAGAAATGCACCCCCAGCCTCTCACTTTGCCCTGTCTTCCCTTTCATGCCTTATCCCGCCTCACTGGTCTCTCTCTTTCAGTCAACCCTCTTACAGCCTCTGAGGCTGTGCCCAGCAGAGTGGAGGGCAGGAATCTGGGTCCTGGTGTCACTGTGCTCTGAGCTCCCACCAATAGCTGCCCCCTTCCCAGCTCTCCCATATTCATGCCCTCCCTGAACCATCCAGCATGAGCCCACCCAAGAGCCGTCACAGTCCCTGGGGGGCTTAGCACCCCACACATTTTCAGGAGAGGATCCAGGTGCTGTCAGAGTCAGGGGTGAGGCCTCATCTGGTCCTAGAGCGCAGATAAGGCAACCCCAGCACTCGCAGCCGCCCTCCTTAGGCGTGGAAGCTCCTTCCACACACCCTGGAGTGCACGCCCAGCCAGCTCAGGGCACACTGACTCTCAGGATGGGACGTGACTTGGAGGTGGGAAAGCAAAGTGGGAGGGAGCCTCCGAGAGGGGTGTATGGACTCCCAGAAGCCCAGCATCACCTGGAGTTCTTAAACTTACAATTCTGGAGGGTCACCACAGGCCTGGGAATCAGAATCTCTAGAGGCAAGTCCCAGAAATCCATATCGTAGTAGTTTTCAGGTACAGTCAGTGCCCGCAGGTGTAGCAGGTGCTGTGTGACCTCAGGGAAGCCTCTCTCACTTTGAGTCTTGATGGGAGATGACTTAAAAGGAAGCCTTGGATACTTGCAGAGGACACAGGTGAAGAGATCCAGGGTCTAGGCTGGTGGGTTAGGGTGATTTTCTTTTCTGTTTCCCAAACATTTTCTAATGCTATCATAGGACTTTTCATTCATTATTATGATTCTCCCTCGCTCCTGTGGGAAGAGCACTGGTCCGAGAGTCTAGAGACCAGCCCTAGCTCTGCCATTATTAGTTATTCCATTTCCCATATTTACCATCCAGACTGTCTCATAAAATTTGATGTTGGTTGGAGACCGTGTCTCCCTGGACACCCACCCTGTTTATTCACTCCTGCTGCAGCAGGGCCAGCCTTGTGGGTGCTCAGCATATTGATGGGATGAGAGAGGGTCTGGGAGGGGCAGCCACGGGGAAGTGAGGAGACCCCAGGGGGCCTCATCTCCAGCTCCTCTCTTTCCACCTTTCCAGCCCTGGGGCCTGGGAAAGGGGTGAGGTGGCAGCAGTAGGAGGAGGTGTCACTGCCAGGGTTCTTCTTCTCACCCAAGCTGGCAGAGGGGCGGGACTGGCGATGGTGACACCAGGGCCACTCAGCCCCCGCTTTTCACAAGCACTTTCTTTTCTAGGTAGAAGAAGTTGGAGGGAGGGGGTGAGGAATCTGGAGTTGTTGAGCCAGGCTGTAAAACCCTGTAACAGCCCATCAGGTCATAGAAAGACCACCCCAGCCTCCCTCTTCCTTCAGAGATATGTCCCCAGGTCCAACTTTATGAATTTATGAATTCTGAGATTCATAATCCCTCCTGCCCTGGAAAGCTGGGTGGGAGTACAGGACATCCTGTGTTCAGAGGCAGGGGGATGGATCACTTGACTTGAGAATTAGCGTGGAAAAGAGGAGGGGGCAAGAGAGGGAGAAACAGATTCCATTTGGCTTCCACAGCTAAGCACTTAGCAAAAATGTCCCCCAAAGTGGTGTCAGCATTCAGTAATCTCATGTCTCCTGGGGAAATCAGTCATTCAAGAGAGTCTTAGTGAAATCTCTCATGTTTGCCAAAAAGTAGCCAAGGGTCTCAAGGTCACCTTTTCTTTCAAGCAATGCTGCCCCACTTGGAACAGCAGGCAGGAACTTCCTCCTTCCTCAGGGTGTGGGGAAATGGTGGGTAAAGAGTTGGGGAGGAGGCCAGTCCCAGGTTTCTGGTACTGTCACATATGCCGTCTCCATCCTCAAAGGAGGCACGGATTCTCTCTTCCCCCACCCTCCCTGGGTCATGCCCGCCTCCTGGGGTCCCCAGCTTTGCCTTCGCCTGACAACCCGCCTCTTGGTTCAGCTCTAGTTGGGAGCAGAGAGTCCCTATGGGCCCCTAAGGGTGAAGCCACGTTGGGCTGGGACAGAAATGTAGAGATGGGGCCAGCCCCCAGGGGAGACCTGGGGAGGGCTGTGGTTGAGGGGAGAGGAGAGGCTAACCTTTAATTCGATGAAAATGTTAAAGTATTTTTCAAAACATTCTTGAAAATGTAAATCTTTACCTATACATTGACATGCAAAAAATTCCATGACACCTTGTTGAGTGAAGAAAAACCAGCACATTACAAAGCAGCATGTGGGGTGTTTATATAAAATTATATATTTGTGCACATGTGCAAAGCACAGAGACGGAGAGAGAGTATACAGGAGTGATGTTTGGGAGGGTGTTCACTGACATGTTAATCCTGTTTGCTTTGGGGGAGTGGAATTTGGGGAGATTAATGCAGTCTTGTTTTTACTTTTCTATCGTGCTTAAATTTTCTATGTAAGTATGTTCATCTTTATACACAGGAAAACTCCTAATGATGCTATTTTCTTTTTTTTTCCCCGCCCCCTTTGATGCTATTTTCAATTGGGGAAAATAAGGATAGTTTTTATCATAAAAGGAGTGTAACTACATTAGTTAACAAAAAAAGGAAAATAGAAGAAAAAAAGNGCAACCCTCGGTGTTGCTCCCGCGCCTCGCTCAGCCAGTAAGCGGGAACCGGTCTGTATGTGGGATCCGAACCCTCGGGCGGGAGCACCGCTGCGCTTCCCAAGCGCGCACTATAGCAGTGCGCCACCGGGCCGGCCCTTGTTTTTACTTTTCTATCGTGCTTAAATTTTCTATGTAAGTATGTTCATCTTTATACACAGGAAAACTCCCAATGATGCTATTTTCTTTTTTTTTCCCCGCCCCCTTTGATGCTATTTTCAATTGGGGAAAATAAGGATAGTTTTTATCATAAAAGGAGTGTAACTACATTAGTTAACAAAAAAAGGAAAATAGAAGAAAAAAAGCCTCAGTACTCCCATCACACGAGGCAGCCCTTCAGAGCATGTGCTGGGTTTCCTTCCTGTCAGCCGGCTCTGAATCTGTTTAAAGCAGCTTTTCCATCCAGGTATAATAATAGATTGGAAAGTGCTGCGCACACACACCGTCTCATGTAGGGATCGCAGTGCCCCTGAAAAGCAGATCTGTTTATTTCTCCCAGTCTACGGATGAGGCACGTGAGGCTGACGTTTCAGGCAAGGGAAGTGACTTGCCCAGGTCACATACACCTGAGTGACAGAGCCAGTCCTGGGACTCTGAGCATTAGCAGCCCAATGCTGCTTGCAGTGCCCATGGCTGCCAGGCTGGGGTCGGGGAGCTTTTGTGGGCCAGGCCCAGCCCAGCGTCCTGCAATCCCCTTTAAGAAACTGTTCCTGCTGCCCACTAGCTTCCAGGTCTGCCCTGGGGCTGGAGGTACAAGATGCATCCGACACAGCCCGCGTGGGCCTCTGGCCGTGAGAAAGAGGGCAAACACTTCACGCAAAGCCACTTCGCACAGAGCCTGGGCACACGGCAGGCATCGATAAACATCTATTCATAGTCGAAGCGGCTCCGAGCCTGCGAGTGCTCCGAGAAGGCCCAGANGGGATGGCTACGCGGCCCCGGACCCGCGCGCCGGGCTGTACCCGGGGCCGCGCGAGGACTATGCGCTGCCCGCGGGGCTGGAGGTGTCCGGGAAGCTGAGAGTCGCGCTCAACAACCACCTGTTGTGGTCCAAGTTTAATCAGCACCAGACGGAGATGATCATCACCAAGCAGGGCCGGTGAGTGTGGCGCGCGCCGAGCGGCAGGAGCGCGAGCTTGGCGCCCTCGCCCCGGGAGAGGACTCTTTTCCCTTTTCTGGCTAAACATTGCTAGTGTCTCCGTGTCCCTCACCGTTCTGGCTTGAGCTTTAGGAGGCAGGGGAGCGGTTACAGTGAGGATAAGGAAAGCTCTGGAGGGTTTGGTGCCTGGCGGGCATCACACCGACAGCCGGGAAACTCGAAAGGGAGGTGGATGAGTGTGGACGCGCTGAGAAGTCACCTTGGTTTAGGGGGAGATGCACCTATGGCTTCACCTAGAGTTGTGTGTGCCCTGCCCCGCTCCCTGCCTGAGTGGGGTCACAGTGGGCAGCGTGCGTTCTGGATCTGACTTAGCCCCTGCGTGCGGAGAGTGGAGGGGAGGGCAGCATCTTGCATCATGTGGGGTGATCACCCGGCCCTTTATCTCCCGGGCTCCCTGTGCCCACCTCCCCCAGCCCCTTTGCTGCTGCTGTGCTCAGGTCAGCTTTGGTGGCGGGGTGGGTGGGTGGGGGGGAGGTAGGCTGGGATTTGGTGACATGGAGAAGCAGTTGCCAAGTTTCCTTTCCGGTCTTACTTTGAGATCATATGTCTGGGGTGTGTGTGTGTTGTGGGGAGGGGGGCACAAATCCCTTCCAGGCACAGATGCCCACCAGCCTGAGCAGGAGAGTTGGCCTCCAGCCCCACACTGCACCCTTTGAGGCCCTTTCCCTGAAAACCACTCCCCTGTTCAGATATTCACTGGTCCAGCCTGCGGGAAGTTGGGAGGGGGATCCCCATGGCTCCATGGCTCTGGGTCCCCTTAGCCTGGTGCAGGAGGCGTAGGGTTTGGGGCTGAGGTTGTTGCTTCCGCATAGAGCCTCCTGAGTGAGGAAAGAAAGAGAAACTTGCAACTCGTGTGGTATTTGTTTAGTAAGCAATACCCTGAGTGGGTCCTGCCTGTGTCTTGTGTGTGAGTGTGCACCCACCTTCCTACTGGGAGTCTGNGGGGACTAGGCCCCACCCAAAAGTGTTCTTAGGCCCCTGGAACTCTCCCTCCCTCAAGTTTTCTGACTCACGGTCCACTGCCTTTCTTCAGGGCTTCTCATGGGAGGAAGGGAGAAGTGTGTGGAAACAAGTAATTCTGATGAGAGTTTCATCCTGCCGTTCTGACGCTCTGCTCTTCCTTCTCGGCTTAGAAGAGAACGGCTAAGCCATTGGAGCTGGTGATGGCACTGGTGCTGGTGGAGGTGGTGGTTGCAGTGATGGGGGGATAGGCTGGTGATGGTGGAGACAGTGGTTAGAGTGCTGGTGGTAATGGTGGAGGGGTAATTGTAGTGAATGATGATGGTGGAGGTGATGGTTGTAGTGATGGCAGTGTGATGGCGGAGGTGGTGGTTGCCATGATGGTGGTGATGGTGATAGTGATAATGGAAGTGGTAGTTGTAGTGGTGGCGATTGTCATGGTGGTGGTGGTGATAGTGGAGGTGGTGGTTGTAGTGATGGTGGTGGTGATGGTGGAGGTGGTGGTTGTA